CCTCCCTCAAAAAAAAAAAAAAAAAAAAAAAATCGCTATAATCACTATACTTGACCTCTGATGACCCTGCTTTCACTTCAGGGTTCTCTTCATGGAACTTCAATTGACCATGGAGTAGAACCTGGCATCAGCTGACTTACACTCACGAGCAAAAGTTCGCCTACACTCACACGCTGCCATATATGTGCACTAACCCGCCTTTAGCCTCGCAAAAGGAAGTCACTCCTGCGACAGCTTCGACCCGAGTTCCTTATGTGTCCGGGAATAGGATAGTCTACCCTCCAATCTTCAGAAGACACCATGAAGAAAACGGGACACAACCTAACCATACAAATACACCATACGTTTTACTTCTTTTCAATCATTAAAAAATAATAATAATAAATAAAATAGTTGAATAAATAAAACAAGAACATCTTTTTTAACATTGTACTTTTTTCAAATGTTATATAATCAAACACAGGCTCCATAAAGACGAAACAATAAAATACCACAAATAAGCATGGAAGATGGTTATTTAAAAGAAAGTAATTTACGTGTTCCCTTTTAGAATGTAATTGATTTTAAAAAATTATTTCCGCCTCATAATATATTTGTTAGTAGGATTCTTATTGAATTTATTTCAAGTATATGAAAGCCATTTTCTGGGGACAAGAAGCAGGTGGGAGGGGGCACTCTCAGCTCTCACTTAAGCTGTATTTGTTTTGGGGTCGTGACCTTGTTGTATTTTGGGTAAAGGGAATCTGCATATGGAATATAATTAAGGTGATGTGTCTCCTGAGTGCGTCTTATCATTTAAAATGGTCTCTTATTTCATCTGCGTAAAACCCGATATTTTAATTGTGAAATTCTCATTTCGTGTTTTTTTTTTCTCTCTCTCTCTCTCTCTCTCTCTTTCTTTCTTTCTTTCTTTTCTGTATATTCAGATAGCCCCAGAAAGTGTTAATTTTCACAAATATTTTATTCTAAGTGTGTTAATTCAATAGAATTGTGATTGTGTTATGTGATACTTGTTTTTCGTTCAAATGCCAATAATATTACCCACAAACACAAGTAGAAATAATATAAAGGGTCTTGTGACTAAGAAAACGTATGTAAGAGTATGAAAATAGTTGATCGCTCGGGAAAGGTGAAACATTTTGAAACTAAGAGAAAAAGAGGGTTTTGTAAAGGAAAGGAGACCGTATATATAGGTGCCATAGGGGTGGAGAAAATGGATGAATGAATAGAAAACGTGACGCCGACGCAGGCTATGTCAAGGTCGCATAGTATGCCTGTGTTGCCAACCTGTGAGCTTTGTTTACTTCGTGAAGATTGCTTATTATGAGATTTATATCAGTTTATCGGGGTCAAAGTCCCGAACACATGCACGCACACTGCACACACACATAGCTTTCAGTCGGTTCATTCACTCTTGATAATGCTGCGTTGGGAATTCTTCATCTTGCTCGTCCAAACAACTTGTCCAGGACCAGCAGGACAACGAGGCCGTGTTCGGAACCTCCAAAACCCTTTCTACCCAGAATGCAAGCGGCTCGAAAATAACCATTCACTATTTTATCATACCGGTGTCTTTATTTTACACGCTGGATAGGTTTTGTAACTCCTTTGGTATATATTTAATTTACCTGTAACTGACAAACACAAAAATATCCTTTGATTACATCAATAAAGGGTCATAAAATTACCCATCAATATCTTGTGGTTACCTGCAACTGTCAATGTTCACATACAAAATCTATTGTGACGTCATCTCGTCCTGCTGAGATGGACGAGATGGACAACTTGTCCAGGACGAGAAAGTAGAGGTTCCGAACGGTCAAAACACCTCGTCCAACTGGTCTGGACAAGCAGAGAGAGGAATTCCGAACGCAGTATAAGCACTTCTCTAATACTATTAAAACAGTGATACTTTGGTTGCAGACGTCCATAATGTGTTGTTGGCAGCGCTTGCTTTAGTTTGTACATGATTCGGGGAAGGGGAAGGATCGGGCAGAGATATTTTAATAATCACAGCTGAGAAATACACTGCATATGAACATCGCCCATAGATGGATATATAATATATATATATATATAATATATATATATATATATATATATAAATATATATATATTATATATATATATATATATATATATATATATATATATATATATATATATATATTATATATATATATATATATATATACATATATATATAATAATATATATATATATTATATATATATATATATATATATATATATATATATAATATATATATATATATATATATATATAATATATATATACATATATATATATATATATATATATATATATATATATATATTATATATTTATATATATATATATATAATATATATATATATATATATATAATATATATATATATATATATATATATACATATGCATATATATATTATATATATATATATATATATATATATATATTATATATATAAATATGAAATATATATATATATATATATATATATATATATATATATATATATATATATATATATATATGTATATATACAGATATAATATATACATATTATATATACATATATATATATATATATATATATTAAGAATATATAAGATATATACAATATAAATATATATATCTATATAAAGACATATACATATATCAAGAGAAATGTTTATATAGATACATATACACATATGATATAGATATATAGTATATATAATATATATATATATATATATATATATATTATATATATATGTATATATTATTATATATATATATATATATATTATATATATATATATATAATATATATATATATATATATATACTATATGTGTGTGTGTGTGTGTGTGTGTGTGTGTGTGTGTGTGTGTGTGTGTGTGTGTGTGTGTGTGTGTGTGTGTGTGTGTGTGTGTGTGTACATACGTATATATATATATATATATATATATATATATATATAATATATATTATATATTATATTAATATATATATAAAGATATATGTATGTATATATGAAATATATATATTATATTCATATATCCACCACCACCACTCATTTCTCCTCGACACAGTCACCCTGCCATCTCTCCAGCAAACATTCACCTTAGGAAGTCCCTCTGCCAGTCCTCCATTACGTCATCACCCTGTCACCCTACCCCCTCCCCCTCAGTGCAGGCTCCCCTCAGTGCCACCTCCCCCTCGTGCCACCCTCCCCTGTCCACCCTCCCCCTCAGTGCACCCTCCCCTCAGTGCCACCCTCCCCTCAGTGCCACACCCTCCCCTCAGTGCCACACCCTCCCTCAGTGCTACCCCCCTCAGTGCCACCCCCTCAGTCCCCTCAGTGCCACCCTCCCTCAGTGCCCCTCCCCTCAGTGCCACCCTCAGTTGCCCTCCCCTCAGTGCCATCTCCCCCTCAGTGCACCCCCTCAGTGCCACCTCCCTCAGTGCCCTCCCTCAGTGCCACCTCCCCTCAGTGCACCCTCCCCCTCAGTGCCACCCCCTCAGTGCCACCCCCCCTCAGTGCCACCCTCCCCTCAGTGCCACCCTCCCTCAGTGCCCCCCCTTCAGTGCCACTCCCCTCAGTGCCACCCCCCTCAGTGACCCTCTCCCCTCCCTCAGTGCACCCTCCCTCAGTGCCCCCCCTCAGTGCACCTCCCCTCAGTGCCACCCTCCCTCAGTGCCACCTCCCCTCAGTCGGCCACCTCCCCTCAGTGCCCCCTCAGTGCCACCCTCCAGTGCCTCAGTGCCACCCCTCAGTGCCACCCTCCCCTAGTGCACCCTCCCTCAGTGGCCACCTCCCCCTCAGTGCCACCTCCCCCCAGTGCACCCCCCTCACCCTCCCCTCAGTGCCACCTCCCCTCAGTGCCACCCCTCAGTGCCAGCACCCTCCCCCTCAGTGCCACCCTCAGTCCACCTCCCCCTCAGTGCCACCCTTCCCCCTCAGTGCACCTCACACCCTCCCCTCAGTGCCACCTCCCCTCACCCTCTCCACCCTCTCCCCTCAGTGCCACCTCCCCCCTCAGGTGCCACCATCCCCCTCAGTGTCACCTCCCTCAGTACCACCCCCCCCTCAGTGCCACCATCCCCCTCAGTGCCACACCCTCTCAGTGCCATTCTCCCCCTCAGTGCCACCATCCCCCTCAGTGCCACTCCCCCTCAGTGCCCCCTCACCCCTCAGTGCACCCTCCCCTCCCTCCCCCTCAGTCCTCCTCCCCTCAGTGCCTTCTCCCCCTCAGTGCCACCATCCCTCTCAGTGCCACACCTCCCCCTCAGTGCCACCCCCCTCAGGCCACCCCCCTCAGTCCAGGCTCCCCTCAGTGCCAGGCTCCCCTTCAGTGCCACATCCCTCAGTGCCCCTCCCCTCAGTGCACCATCCTCTCAGTGCACACTCCCCCTCAGTGCCACCTCCCCTCTGCCACCCTCAGTGCCACCTCCCCTCAGTGCACCTCCCCTCAGTGCCACCCTCCCCTCAGTGCCACCCTCCCTCAGTGCCACCCCCCCTCAGTGCCACCTCCCCTCTGCCCCCCTCAGTGCCACCTCTGCCACCCCCCTCAGTGTAGTGCCACTCAGTTTCCCTCAGTGCCACCCTCAGTCCCTCCCCTCAGTGCCACTCTCCCCCTCAGTGCACCCCTTCCCCCTCAGTGGCCACCCCCCTCAGTCCACCCTCTCCCCCTCAGTCACCTTCCCCTCAGTGCCACCTTCCCTCAGTGTCACTTCCCCTCAGTGCCACCCTCCCCCTCAGTGCCACCCTCCCCTCAGTGCCACCTCCCCCTCAGTGCCACCTTTCCCTTCAGTGCCCCCTCCCCTCAGTGCCACTCATCCCTCAGTGCACCCTCTCCCCTCAGTGCCCACACCTCCCCCTCAGTGCACCATTCCCTCAGTGCCACCTCCCTCAGTGCCAGGCTCCCCTCAGTGCAGGCTCCCCTCAGTGCCTTTCCCCCCTAGTGCACCCCCCCTCAGTGCCTTGTCCTCCCCTCAGTGCCCCTCCCTCAAGTGCCACCTTCCCCTCAGTGCCAACCTCCCCTCCAGTGCACCCCCCTCAGGCCACCCTCCCCTCAGTGCCACATCCCCCAGTGCCACCCTCCCTCTCCCCCTCAGTGCCACCTTCCCCCTCGGTGCCACCCTCCCCCTCAGTGCTCATCCCCCTCAGTGCCACCCTCCCCCTCAGTGCCACCCTCCCCTCAGTGCCCCACCTCATCCCCCTCCCCCTCAGTGCCACCCTCCCCCTCAGTGCCACCCTCCCCACGGTGCCACCCCCCCTCAGTGCCACCCTCCCCCTCAGTGCCACCCCCCCGTGCTCAGCACCCCCCCAGTTGCACTCCCCCCTCAGTGCCACCTCCCGTGCCAACCCCTCGGCCCTCGACAAAGAGGCACTCGTAAGCGAAAGGAGTAATGACCAAGCAGTACCTTCTTAAATGCAATAAAGAATTAATGATGACAGGGTGGTAATGCCCAACATAATGATGTTTCCGCACACGATTAGGGCCATGTATCTGCATATGACTTTTATTTTACTTTCCCTCTCATTGTTGAGTTGGAGATATTTCATGAACGGGAGAGGTGTGAAATGAAAGGAAGCAGCATTTTAATCCGTTTTTTGTAGATCTTCACCGGATGGAAAGTAGAAAGCCAATGAAAGCAAATTCGGTAAATGCAAATACAGATTTTATGGAAGTATGTAGACCTTGTTCGTTGGCAGGGCTGGACGTCTGGAATTTCCACCTGCGGTCACAAGAGATCACCACCGTGTACAACTTCCGTGGACATTGCAATGGTGTTTTTGTTCATCCGTAAAATAATATGATTATGTATTTTTTTTTTTTTTTTTTTTTTTTTTTTTTTTTTTTTTTTTTTTTTTTTTTTTTTACCTTGATTATAAGACATCAAGTATGCAAATATAGATATTTCAGTTGTAATATATTAAAAAAAAACTCTAGAACTCCAATCCCTTAATTGCTGGTTCGTGCAGGCTACCAGTTCGCTCAATATGGAACAGCTGTCCAGTTTCCAAGGTCATTTCAACCAGTCCATAGATCAGCACGTGAGGTCAGGGTAGGTTAGGTTCGGGTTACATTCGTTTACAGGTTAGATAAAGTTGTTGTTTTTTCAGGTCAAGTTAGATGTTTATAATACCTTGATGTTAGATTATGTTGGGTTGATTTAGGTTTGGTTAGTTCAGATTCGTTCAAGTGGATTGGAATAGTTCTGTTAGGCGGTTTGTTATAATTAGTGTCGCCCTGGCAGACCATCCAACATGGAGTGATATACACTGAAATGTTTCATATTTTAAAGTGCAAAGAAGTGAACATAAAAAAAAAAACTGTACTAACGTAACTGAACATACTGTACTATGAATTTAGATACACCTATTCACACTGTTGATGTAATCTTCCCATTTACTAGCCTAAGTACGTATAAACACAAATTTTATAACATTATAACTTCCTGTTTGTATTTGTTTGTTTTTTTTATCTTTCTTCCTTCATTTGGCCATTTATGGGACTCCAGTTTACAAAATAAAATTCTAGTTTACGACAAAATAAGACGCCAGATTAGACATGAGACTCCAGTGACGACACAATAAAGACCACTTTACGACAAAAAAAGGACACCACTTTAAGGCAAAAAGGACACCACATTACGACAAAAAAATGACACCACTGACGACAAAAAAAAATGACACCACTTTACGGCAAAAAGGACACCACTTTACGACAAAAAAGGACACCACTTAACGACAAAAAAGGACACCAAATCACGACAAAAAAAAGACACCCCTTTACGACAAGATGAGACTCCAATACACCACCATGAAGATCCCAGCGGCGACAGGCACCACGACCAGCCGACAGAGCCTCAGCAGCCCCTCGGCAGACACCATCACCCTCGACCTCCTCCCGACGTCCCCCGAGGTCTTGGGCCCGACGCGGAAGACGACCTCGGACTCGAGCCCTTCGACGATGACGTGCACGATGATGATGACGAAGAGCAAGATGGTGCAGGAGAAGAACCAGACGTCGATCATCTTGATGTAGGCCGTTTGTGGCAGCGAGGAAGACGCCTGGTTGAAGAAGGTGTACAGCACGAGGAGCGTTGTCAGGCTCACCACGAGACGGACCTGTTTGATATATATAAATATATATATAATATATATATATATATATTATATATATATATATATATATAATTATATAATTATATATAGAGAGAGAGAGAGAGAGAGAGAGAGAGAGAGAGAGAGAGAGAGAGAGGAGAGAGAGAGCGAGAGAGAGGGAGGGAGAGGAGAGAGAGGGAGGGAGGGAGGGAGGGAGGGAGGGAGGAGAGGAGGAGAGAGAGAGAGAGAGAGAGAGAGAGAGAGAGAGAGAGAGAGAGAGAGAGAGAGAGAGAGGGGGAAGAGAGAGAGAGGGGGAGGAGAGAGAGAGAGAGAGACAGAGGGAGAGAGAGAGAGAGTTTCTCTTTTTTTTTTTTTTCTTCTTTTCCTTTCTGATGCTTATGTTAGGATCCAAGTGTTTGTCAGATTGTATAACTATGCACATCATCTAATGATCATGATAATACTATCCGTATGTCTATTAGATACAGTAATTCATCCATTTACCTCATTTACTGACACTGACATTACTATCCGTGTGCCTGTCATATTTATCTATTCATCTCCTCTCAATATCTCAATATAAATTTGACTCACAAAACTAAAGAAAAAAAAAGCGAAATAAATATGGACGTGGATAGATTGGTTGAGAACTTACCTGCAACAATTCCACCTTGACATACAGTGTTGAATATCCTACGAGAAGTAACATGGATGAAGGCATGTAGACGGAAAGGACTATGAGCGTGTATCGTCGTGTGAGCGTGTACTTGATCTGAAAGGGAAGATTAGTAGTAGTAGAGAGAGAGAGAGTAACCGTGAAGAAAAAGGGTTAACGTGTGGGAGTGTTTCTGTGTGTATCTTTGTGTGGAAGGTGTTTATGTATGTTTATGTGTGTGTGTGAGGGGGGAGGGAGGTCTCTCTGTGTGTGAGGGGGGTCTGTGTGTGTGTAATTTGTGTAATATTATATCTGGGAATTTGACTTTCACCTAAATTTGACTTTTACTTTACTTTATATAACCAATTCTCAAACTAAAAATAATGCTCATTAATATAGAGAAAGCTATCGATATTTTAGAAAATGAGAGAAAAAAGGAAGAGAGTAAAATAGACAGACAGACAAGCAAAGAGAATTACTCATAATGGTAGAGAGAGAGAGAGAGAGAGAGAGAGAGAGAGAGAGAGAGAGAGAGAGAGAGAGAGAGGAGAGAGAGAGAGAGAGAGAGAGAGAGAGAGAGAGAGAGAGAGAGAGAGAGAGAGAGAGAGAGAGAGAGGAGAGAGAGAGAGAGAGAGAGAGAGGAGAGAGAGAGAGAGAGAGAGAAGAGAGAAGAGAGAGAGAGAGAGAGAGAGAGAGAGAGAGAGAGAGAGAGAGAGAGAGAGAGAGAGAGAGAGAGAGAGGAGAGAGAGAGAGAGAGGAGAGAGAGAGAGAAAAGAGGAGAGAGAGAGAGAGAGAAGAGAGGAGAGAGAGACAGACAGACAGACAGTCAGACAGAGAGAAAGCGCACCACGAGTAGCTCGAAACACACCTTCATTCCACTCTCGCGACCGAAGTAGTTGCTGCTCTCGGACGAAAAGTTCCCGATGGTGTAGGTCGGCAGGGTGCTGTCCTCACTGAACAGCACCGAGGTCCTCTCTTCGCTCAGACTCACGAGGTCCTTGCTCACCGAAGAGACCTGAAGGGAGACGCTGCAGTGCTGGGCGTCGAAGGGATAGTAATAGACGTTGAAGCGGCAGACGAAACTACCGCTGTAATGTTGCACCTGCACGAGCAGAGCTGAGTCACCGCTGTACACGTTATCTGCAACGGTTGCTGTGTTATTAAGCAAGGACTGGAAGATATAGAAGGAAAGCCATATACACGCACAATAAGATAGATGGGAAGACAGACATTAGTCATTAATCCTTTAATAAGACCTAAAGACAGAGAGAGAGAGAAAGTGAATAGTGAAATATCGAAATAAGTGAAAAAAAAACGTGTATTTCAGTGCATTGTTTCCTTCATACAATAGAGTACCTGTGGTTGTACCTATATAGTAAAGATAAAATTCGTATGTGTGACTCACCCATTCCAACAGCGTTGAAGTCAAAGGGGAGCGAGTTGTTGAGTTTCTTGACAAAGACGTCATCTCTGAGTAACTTCAGTTCTCCGTCCTGAACGTTAGGGAATTCCAGCCGTGGTCTCCAAATCGAATCCTTCTCTGCTGGAGATAGCTTATTGGCATGGATGTCTTCGCGAAGGTTCAGGTACCTTAGTCTCGACTCGAACCAGCTTATCGAAAGAGTGAATTCAAGATGGATGGCTTGTTGGACGTCTTCGATTCTCAAAATGCGCAGAAAGTTAAATTGCAGATCGAGCGGCAAGGCAGTTACAGGGTTCTCCACGCTCTTTGGAGGCTTGAAGTTCCTATAGTTCTCGGGGACATCCAAGACGGAACAGTCGTCTTCGTCCGTCTGATCATCACAGTCATCTTTGGCATCACATCGAGCATCAACGTCAATACACTGGCCGCTGTCACACATGTATTCCCCCGTTTCACAAGTGGACAGTGAGATGACGAGTTCACTACCGACAGGTTGGTCACAGATGGGGCTTGCGAGCGTCCATTGGTGTTTTCCAATGGGGTAGACATTCCTCGATGGCAGAGTCAGTCGAGCGAGACTCCGGTTCGCAACGGTGTCAAGAAGGTGCCAGTCGTTTCTCTCGGAGGTGAGCATGTAGCCGTGGAACCCGTGGAAGAAAGGTCTGCTTGCTGTGTAGCCGAGGACTTCAAACATGGTTTCCGTTCTCATCTCTGTGCAGATTCCTCGCATATACAAGGGAATGCTGACACGTTCTGCGCAAGGGACACAGGCAATGTTTTTCTCTCTGCAGCCATAATCGGCCCAGACTCCTTCGCCTCCTGCCATAGCCATGCAGTTTTCCTCCCTCGTGTTATCCGGCTGCCCACCTGCGAAGTTGATATCGGTTATGACTCTGGAATCCGAAAACCTCCTCCAGACTCCTTCTTCCATTTCATCCGAGACTCCTATCCACATGTTAATTGTCCCAGCACAGAATCCCTCTCTCCACATTGTAGCATTTAGCTCTCTGTTTATTTCGGTATCTGCAGGAGCATAGATCTTCATCCGGAATAAAGCGCATATCTTTACCGACTCCATGAATGTCCGTTTTTCTGGAAAAATGATAAAAGTTTCATTCCTGTTGCAGAGGTCCTGCACAGGCTTCTTCATGCTATCTACATTTATCAACTCTAAACCACTCGCCAGCCTATCACTCGAAAACACATCCCCGCGGTCATTTCTCTCGCAGTTGGCGATCGAAGCCACAACGTGACCTGGCAGACCGTAACTCCAGAGATTGACCTGCGCCACGAATCCTTTCAGAATCTGGCGTTTGTCCATCTTCTTAGACAAGCCGTCCTGCTCCTGACCAACAACAAGCGTTCCGTTCAGTGGCAAGACGCGGTTGTCCACCTGAACGGGCCCGCTTGCCACCTCAGCGCCATCTATGAACGCCGCGTACCGATCTCCGGAGACCACGTGGCAGTAGTGGCGCCACCGTCGCAAAACCGTGGGTACTTTCACGTCCTCTAAGATTCTCTGAGGTACGTTGTTGTAGCGGAAAGAATGGCGTCCGTCCTTGATGTCTGGTGAAAAGGAAAGATGGATTTCTTGTTTTTTTTCAATTGTTTTTGTCTTCTCATGATTTTTTTTTTTTTTTTTTTGTTAAATCTATGAATAAATGTATGGAATGATACTAACACAATGGTATATATATATATATATATATATATATATATATATATATATATATATATATATATATATATATTCATTATGATTAGTGAGCGTAACATGATTATAGCTTTATAAATGATAATATAATAAGAATAGTGGAGCTACTGAAAATCATGATCATAATTTATTTCAATAACTTGAAAACGATCAGTGATTCTATTAGTTATCATTCATATTAATATCGCTAATAGTCTTATGATTCTAATACCGATGACAGTGTCGGTAACAGCTAACAGAGAAGAATGCTAAAAATACTTTATTAACGATAATAATATAATGATAATGTAGAAAATGAAAAAAATTAAACAATATGAAAGTGTAATAATGATGTTGATCTTAATGATGATGATAAAAATTAATTGATCAATCCCTAGCATTAATTAATTTACTGATCAAAGTCCATTAAAACTAAGAAGCTGGCGATAACACACGAAAAAAAAATATTGAAAAATAAAAATAATAATGTCATTGTTAATAATCAAAGGCAATCTTAAGCAAAACTACGACAGCGATCAAAATAATGTTGATATGAGATGAATCTCCGTAACCAATGCTATGTACCGCCAGCAACAAAAGCGGTGACGACCCGCCAGACCAGGCCCCAGATTCTCATCCATAAGGCCCCTTAACTTACCGCCGAGCGATCTTACATACACATACACAGCGCAAGGGACCCGCCATACTGGTGCGAGTGAAGGCGCCTGAGGTGAAGGCAAGGAAGGGAAGAGCCGCCTTTAACGCTTCACGGCGGGCGGGAAACCAACTCTCTTCGCTCTTAAACAAGGGAAATACAGCAGGACGGTTAAGGCCTCTTGCGCGCCTCAATTTAAGGTTCTTTTGAGAATCCGGCCCCTGCTGGCTGGTTCGGGGAGAGCATGCCCTTCTTGCCCTGAAAGGAGGCCCACCTTCAAACAACCAGGGCATAGTTAGGATGGTTCGAGTGTGAGGAGGAGGGAAATTACGGAAATCAGGCGAAAAAGTGCAATAATGACTGAAATATACATGAAGAGAGAGAGAGAGAGAGAGAGGGATCGCTTTTATTCCTGTTTAGTTGTTCATTTGATGGATATATTGGAAACCTGCCTTAAGAAATAAGTTATCGTGTATTATATAAAAAATAATTATCATGGTATCTTACAATTTTATTTCAGTTCCTTATCCAAATCTTTAAACATTGTTGGAACTGACTATTCATATTAATATTCGTCAGACGGAAATATCCTTCTTATATGTGAAAGATGTATATTAATATATGGCTCTGCATTATCCAAAGCAGCTACTCTCTCTCTCTCTCTCTCTCCTTCTCTCTCTTCTCTCTTCTCTCTCTCTCTCTCTTCTCTCTCTCTCTCTCTCTCTCTCTCTCTCTCTCTTTCTCTCTCTCTCTCTCTCTCTCTCTCTCTCTCTCTCTCTCTCTCTCTCTCTCTCTCTCCTCTCTCTCTCTCTCTCTCTCTCCTCCGTCTTATATCACCTTGATCCGCTATTTATATAATGGTAAACTTTTGATATGTTATTTGGAAAATAGAATAATACTCGTGACACTAGTTTATCCGCCATTATATTTTCCAAATGTTTACAATTTTTGCATTACCAAAATAACGAAATAAATTTGTAAAAGACGGATATCGAAAGTAATGGATTTTTTCAATAGTTTGGACTAGGTGTTGGACGCCAGCCGCTGAAACGACAAATAAGAAATATCCCTTTAATCCTTGGGTAGAGTGAAGCTAGACTCGACCCTTCGCGGGGTGAGTGAGCAAGCGTGAGCCGGGAAAAGGGTTCGCCGGGAAGTGCCCAATCTGCCCAGGTCTAAAGACTGTCGCCTAATAATTTGACGCAAAAAGATGTGTTAATAGTATAAGTTTCGCAACACCATCCTATATACCCTACTACCATCATTATATTAATGCACCGCTGCACACATTCACTGCATTTCATTTGACATCATTCATTTTGACCAACAGTTTCGGAAACAATATAATAAATTAGGCTGACTGACGATGCACTTTAAATCAGTTTGTATCTCAAACTTTAAACTGATATAATAGTTGTAAACACTGTCTATAAATAGATTATTGCGAGGGGCGGAGCCAAATGGCCCATCACACCCAAGCTGACCCCAACCAAACCGTGCTTCGCGATTCATGAACGTGACTGGAGGTTCGTGGTTCGTAGAAAGCACTCAGACGAAATAAAAGGAAAACAAGGGAATCGATACCTAAATCTTTACAGCCCATTACCCTCGACGTTTTGTGACCAAAGCCATTTATTAATATTTGGCAGCTCAGGAGGCACTATTTGAGACGATACATTATTCACACTGTGTGTGTGTGTGTGTGTGTGTGTGTGTGTGTGTGTGTGTGTGTGTGTGTGTGTGTGTGTGTGTGTGTGTGTGAGAGAGAGAGAGAGGGGGGGTGGACGCTAGCCGCAATAGGATGAGACTGAAACATAGCCGAACACTCACTCCTTGCTTTGTCTTGCAAGTCCAAATCACCTCCCCCCTCCCTTTCCTAACTATGTCCAGGCTGTCTGAACGTGGGCCACCTTTCAGGACAAGAAGGGCAAGATCTCTCCAAGACAGGTCTGGCGAGGCGACATCGCTTTTGTTATTGAGTGTACAGACTAAAGACGCAACACTCGAACACAACTGGAAATGAAAATGTAAATACGAAAATGATAATGAGGAAAATGATGATGGTGCTGATGATCATCATAATCATCACTATCATCATAATTACCATCATCACGATCATGATCATATTAATATTATTATTCGGCCAAAATTATGCATATGACAGCTTTCTGCCGTACCCGTAGTCACTCCGTATTATCATTGTTGCTACTAATTTGTCGATAATGATCATACCAGATAAATTATTATGATAATGCCAATAAACATACACATCATCAGAGCATTGGAGAAGCTGTCGGCCGTGGCGTAGGAGAACAGGACCTGGAGTGTGGTGAGTGCCGTGGGGAACACCCTGGAGCAGACGCTGAACTCCGAGACGCTGGCGGCCACCTGCTGGAGGCTCATGTTGAACCTGAGGAAGACGTCGTCTCGAGGGGCCTCCCAGATGTCCGGCTGAAGGGAGAACACCGTCACGTCTTCCCCTGCAGAGTTCGGTAAAAGTGTTCACTTAACTAGGAAATTAACTGGAAGTGGCAATTCAATAACAAGTAAGAGGTAATAGAGTAATAAGTAATACAATGGTTTGGAATACACGAACGCAGAGATACAGCTGAGAACTGCACAGACGCAGGAATATCTCCTATAATAATGGGTCTTCAGATTATAGATCGTCAGTGATCTTGCTCGTCTCAACAGTGCATTTCCTCCTTAGTGAAAGATTTTTTAAGTATAAGGGAGAAATCTTCCAGAATTGTCTAATAGGGTGAAACAAGCTTCAAAAATGGGTGAACTAATCAATGAAAATAAGTAAATTAAAGATTAATTGATATATTAATATTATCTTAGGAAGAATTAGAGGAGAATTTAAAGGATTCTCGCCCCTATCGGTGACAATAGAAAAAGTATTTTATCACCAACTTGAATTATGAATTACTGGATACAATAGCAGATATTACTGCAATAGATTAAGGTAATCAATAACTTAGACAATACACTTTTGCTTGCCTATATCCTACCCACATTTTTATTCTTTTTTTATATTCTATTTTCTCCCTTTATTCCATCATATTCAAAATCTAATTCCTCTAACTTTATAAAAACAAAAGCAAAATACGTTAGAACTGGAACTAGAAGAATAAAAAAATAAGAAGCAAAAGTAGAATATACATAAAAATAAAAATGAATCAATAATTTGAGTTGCTTCAAATACAGACCATAAAAAAAAAATGCTTACCTGCCACGCCTCTTGTATAAAGCAATAGAAATAGAGTGATCAACTGCACTGCAACTTTCTTGGACATGTTGATCCGGGCTCTCCTGACAAGACACTGAACACCGACTTCCTGGATTATTCGCCGTGTCCGATATTGCGCCTATGGATACGCCCTCTCCCCCTCCCACTTCCTTCCTAATTCTTGTTCTTCCTTATTCCTCCTTTCTGTGCTGCTTCTTTTTGCTTCGTTTTCCCTTC